TGGAAAAGAAAGGTTAGGTTCAGGAGTAGCAGATATATTAGGTACAGTTAAAGAATTTGGAAAACGATTTGGGGAAGAAACCAAGAAAACTGTTAAACAAGGATTAAATGAATTAGTAGATAGTATTGACACAGGAGAAGTCAAAGTCAAACATAAGGGTAATGCTATAGTTTTTAAAAATATATACACTGGAGAAGGATAATTTCGTTCAAAGTATAAAGGAGAAGGAGTGATTTTTGGAACAAAAATATAGAAATAATAAATCGATAAAAAATGGGAAAGAAATTTAAACATTCAAAAATATTTCCTAATAACCCAATGCTTATGTGTATATGCGGTAGTTCAGGTTGACAAAAGCAAACTTTTTAGATTTCGGTTCTTTATATTGTAATGGAGTTTCTGATGTTTCTTGCTAGGAGAGATCCTTTCCCGATGCTCTCCGCCTTTATCTTAGGACGTAGGAATATAAACTTAACACTTCCACAATATGCACTTTAATATAGGTTGTAACACTGGATAAAGGTATGAACAAAAGTAATGTCAATCTGATTCCCTAGAACACAATAGTTACTTGGAGTATTTCCTCTGGAACCTATACTATAAAGGTTCACAAATACTGGATGTATAATCGACTACTGGCTCGTCTGTCCCCTTCCTAGGCCCCCTGAATGCTGAATTCCTAACCCCCTTTATACCCAGCCCTCCTTTGTCACCTACCGACAAAAGACGTGTCCAACAGTCCCCTCTTTACCCAAACAAAAGGCAATAATCCCTTATCAACACTCAGAAGATACAGGGGCCTTTGTTGGCTTGTACCATTGATAAATGGCCATTGTGTCCAAGTTACGTAATCAGTAAAAGAGGATAGGCTGTACAATAGGAACTAATCATATTGCCTTAGGCTGACCGATGTGGCAGGTTAGATAGAGTGACCATTAGTGTCACTGGACAATGTGGTATTGTGTTCTAGGGAATTATCAATTACATCTAGTTACTAGATTACACAACGATTAGCAATATTACACCATGCTCTGGATTATTGAGAGTATTATCACACTTTGTATAACCAACATAGGTGTGTACACGCAACATCTGACTACTTACAGACAGGAGCATCAGCTTTTTGTGTCACATTTACTCGAGCAATTACAGCGGACATATTTAGTCAGTCTTCTCCCCTCCTTAATTCTATTTCAGGAGTCTCTTCCCCAAGGGATATTCTAAGCGATGGAAGAGGAAGGAAAAACCAATTCACTTTTAAAATGCAGTTTATATACACGATCACAAAACACAGGTAAACTAATATGTCCTTAATACTTAACTAAGAAATTATTCATAAAATCGAGTTACCCGGAAACAATCTGTATTTATAAGAGCGTATGGATGACCTTTACCTCAAAGACGTCCTCTAACTTATGTCCTTTTATCTGGCTGGGTAGGATCTCCTTGACTATGCCGTTTTATGCTTAGAATCTTCATCAATTTCAATTGCCAATAGCTACTTTTCAAATCTAGGCACGTGAAATAATTACAGTCCCCTAAAGAAGAAATCAAATCATTCATGTTAGGAAGAGGATAAGAATTTTTTGTAAGCTGATTTTTTGAATTTCCGATAATCAATGCAGAAGCGGCGTTGTCGGGCTTAGGATATGAGCACTATCGGTGATGAATATTCGCTGGAACTGGGTCTGATAACACCAGCTTTTAACATGTCATTTATTTGGGAATCAACTAAACACTTCTTTGACAGTGGCAATTCCACCTAATGGGAGTAAACTTCGTTTTGAACGACGTGGTTTTGAAGTTGTCGTGACTTGAAATTTGAAATTTTTAAAAGCATTTTTCAACTTATCAAAATGGGTGTTGAGCTGAGTATATTCAGTGGACAATATCTCTTGCAAATTATTATTACGGGTAGTAAAACGAAGTAATTTCTGATTTTGTACATCGGGTGTTGTTAAAGCAGCAATAAATTGCTTAAAAACGTCGATAGAATCTTGCAATTCCTTAATTTGCTTTTCAAATGGAACCAAATCAAAGTGGAAATTGAGCACCCAAGTGCTGTAAGAGGCATAAAATATGTTTTGAAATACAAATTGTACGTTATTTGCATAACTTACTTTCCAAATGAGATAACAGCTATGATATTAACAACACTTTATTTACATTCAATAACTGGAGATCTACACTAATCCAAGAAGTATACCCAAGACTCTTAGAATATTAGAACGATCCGATCCTCTCTCCGGGTAAAGAATGAATACCCCAAACCCTAACTACACTCCTATTTATTTCTCCCCCCAGATGGCCAACATATGAAATGTTTCTTTTGTCAAAAGATCCCTTGCTGTTCCTTAACCTAATTGCCATGTCTGACCGATTCCTTTTCTATACCCCTATAGTTTCTTAATCTCTCAGTGTCTCCTTCCCTGCCGACATGGGATAGGTCTCCTTTGTATACTATCATCTGTTTCTAATTACTTACATAACCACCACACCGATGTTAATTCAAAAGTGTTAAAAATTACAGATTAAAGGTTACCACCCGTGATTACGCCTATTTGACTATTACATGTTGAAGGTTACCCCCGTGATTCCCTATAGTTTACTTCTGGACTAATGTAGATTAGCAATATAACATATGTATCCCCCTTAATCTAGAAAATACATAATTATGATTTTCTTGAACAACCCAAAAAAATTAAAAGCAAAAAATAAATAAATAAATAAAAAAAATATAATATACCACAAAAAAATGAAAAGGATAACAAACAAAATAAAAACAAAGCAAATAATATGTCAAACAAGGAAGAATTACTGACGTAGAAATCAAGGAACATGCCCATGTAGATCGAAAAAAATTTTGTTTAAAAAATGGTTGTCCTTCCGGAAATGTCTTAACGCTGAAAAAAATAATTATTTCACGCATGATGATATGGTATCATCACCTATTTCCA